CCAAAGATCAGGGATGCAAGTGAACACCTCATGCAGGAACTCTTAGACCAAAAGAAGACACTTATCCCGTCCTATGTAACCTATTTCTTGAATTGACCAAAGACCGTCATTACACAAAGCAGCAGTACAACATACACAGCCAGCAGGCATCAGAGGGTGATGCGAATAGCCTCTTCAGTGGCTAACATAACCCAAAACCTCAGCTTCGAGCTGTGAAAAGAGGCAGAGGGTTTGCCATGGTGTTACTAGACGTGATGGAACTACTTCCCTCTGACATGAAAGAAGGCTCAGTCATCTATGATGACATCTGACTCAGTTGCAAAACTGCCATCGAGGCTGTCATAGGACAGACACCAAGCCTGGAGAAGGCTCCGGGGTGATCTTATAGCAGCTTTCCAGTACCTAAAGGGGGCCTACAGGAAAGCTAGAGAAGGACTTTTTACAAGGGTGTGTAGTGATAGGACAAGGGGCAATGGATTTAAACTGAAAGAGGGCAGATTTAGGTTAGATATAAGAAAGAAATTCTTTACATTGAGGGTGGTGAGGTACTGGAACAGGTTGCCCAGAGAAGTTGTGGATGCCCCATCCCTGGAGGTGTTCAAGGCCAGGTTGGATGAGGCTTTGGGCAACCTGGTGTAGTGGAGGATTTCCCTGCCCATGGCAGGGGGGTTGGAACTAGATGATCTTTGAGGTCCCTTCCAACCCTAACCATTCTATGATTCTATGATTCTAATGTGATCCAAGGCACTGAAAGAGTCTATGACATGTCTTCCTTTAACTGTTGACACCACAAATTTGTGTATGTACTTATGTGTGTATCTATGGGCAGAAAGACCTGCACTGACCTTGGCTTGATGGAACAGCTAATTTCCAGGGAAAGGTTGTACTCATCCTGTGAACCTAATGACATCTAGAAACTGGCCTGCCTGGTTGACAGCTCCTGAGGTACCCTGTTTTTCTTTCGATATTGCCTTGTGCCCTCTGCACCAGCCTTCTTTGTAATGGCTCCACCAGTGTGATGCAGATCCCCTGACAATGCCAGAAATTGTTTTAATTGCCACTACCTGAGAGCAAGCGCTATGATATAAAGGCATGTTTTATATCATAGCTAGTGAGCTGTGGGCTTCCTCATCTCAGAAGAGACGGCCACTTGGTAGGATTGCTGAAGTATGGGGTGGATAACTGGGTGGTAAGATGGGTGGAAAATTGGCTGGACTGCTGGTCTCAGGGGACTGTGTGAGCCGTGCAGAGTCCAGCTGGCAGCCAGTAATTAGCTGAGTCCCTCGGAGGTCAGTCTCTCCCAGAATTTCCACAGATATGCCCATGTTCTGCCTTATGCTCCCTGTGCTCGTTCACACCTCAGCAAAATGAATGCAAACCCTCCTTGCTGCTAACTTCTACGCTGATGCATTGATGCCCGCTCACTTTCAAAAGTTTTGTTACAAAACCAGGGGAGCAGGATGCTGACTCCCGGGATCTGCAGGCCGGTCCGCGTGGATCGCAGGGCTGCGGTCTGGCACCCTGCCACCCTCTTTGACGGCAGAGCAGCCCTCCTTTAGCGCGGTGCCAGCTCTGAACGGCAGTCAAATGGAGCTACGCATGAAGCAATGCCACTAAAAGTGACATTAACTTTGACCAGAGGTGGTTCTTCCCTGGGGACGAGGGTGCCCTGCCATCGCTTGAGTTTTTCTGTGGGTCACCTAAGTGTTTCTGAGTTACCAGCTTTCTGCTGCGGCCAGGTGGCAGCGCACGTGGCAGCAGCCAGCCCAGCACTGCGGCCCCAGAGGGAAGTCTGCTGCACCTGCACCTCAGCCCTCTGCGGTGGGGGGAAGTCCCCACCGGCTGAAGGCTAGCAGGGCTAGCCTCGTTAGCTTCACCTCTGCCGTCACGGACGGGCTTTGCATATTTTATGTGCTTTTTAACTGCAGGGAACAGTGGACTTGGTTATCTCCAAATAAGAGACTTGCAAACCTTGTAATCCTTGATGGTAGAGGAAGGTTAATAAAAATGAAAAGGGACATGACACCACCAAGCAAGTGAACGAGAGGAACAAAACCTCTGCTGCTTGCTTCTCTTCCCTGTCCCTGGGACGTTTTAAAGATTCCTCAAAAGTAACCTAGATCTCCACCAGACTTTCTCCAACAGTTCCTAGAATTGTCTTTTATTCAGCACTAAAGCCAGTTGGAGAACTGTTTGTGCTATTACAAACAGTTTAACCCATGATCAGTGTGATTAATGAGACCCCTCAGAGACAGAAGGTTGGGTATGCTTCTTGTAGGAAACATGCATTTCTTTCTTTGTGGTTCGAAATTTCCTCGTTCTTTTTCTCAGAATAGCTAGAGAGAACGGAAGTTTCTCGCTTTGAGATCTAATCTGCTCTGCCTTTGCAGGAAGTTACAAACGTCTTGAACAAGCTTTCAGCTGACACATTTTTCTGAACAAGAAGCCCTTTGGACAAAGCCTTACTGATTAGAGACAGGAGTGGTTAAACCACAGCTCATGTCCGTAATTACCAGCTAGTTAACCTTACACCTTTATCCTCTTGCCGTCAGCCCAAGTTTTGCAGGGTTTGATTCCTGTAAAATAATAGCATCTGTTGGGTATTTCGCTCTGTTGAAAGCCTTGCCTGTCTCACTGTAGCTAGTTAAGGAGGCCTATTTCCATTTGCAAACCTATGCAAATAAACATTTCTCAGAGTGTTTGTATCATGGTACATCTCTGGTCTCTGCGGTTGTTAGTCCACTAACTTAGCTGCTTCTTGACAGCCATAATCGTATTTAAATTCACCTCAGTATATTTTTACGGGTTCAGCGATTTCACAGATGGCTAGAGAGAAGCAACCTGAAGACTAAGCGCCTCTGCTGCAAAAGCCAAAAGATAAGCCCTTCTCAGAGGAATTCAAGCTCGCTTTAGACCTTCTCTAGGATGAGGAGATGATAGAAGCCAATCCAAATACATTATTTCAGAAAAAGTTACTAAAGTCATGTTAACTAAAGTTGGTACTGTGTGTCATGACACACTACTGGTTATAAAAGCATTAAGAGACAGATATAGCTGCTTGATGCAAGATCTCACATACTTCATCCTGTGAAGGGATTCTGTATCTCCACCATGCCTGGCAATTTGGGGTCATTCCTACTAAATGATGATGATTGTTGCATGCATTAAATGTAAGCTAAAACCAGAAACAAATCTTAGCATCTCTCATTCTTGTTTATTTTTCTAAACAGAGTTTATTTACTCCAAATCTTTGAAATCCAGTTAATGCAATTTTCTAAATTCGCTATTTTTATACTGTAGCCTTCAAAGCAGATCTATGTTTTAGGAGTCTGACAGCAGTAGCCATTTAAGGGGTCATGAAAACTACAGAAAGCGTTTCCATTAGGAAAAAAAAAAAATAGAGAAAAGCTTTCAATTTGTTTATAGCTTCTTCAGAAATACTCTTTTTGGGGTGGAACTTTCCATCTTTCATCTCTTCTGAAGGTGATTTTCTTTTAATTTGTCAGCAATGTGTGGAAACCTTTTAACATAAATGCAAAATGCCTTAAATTATGAAAACGGTGTGACTAATTGGTGAGCAAAAAGTTTCTGTATTGATTTGATACACAGATTATTACGCATGATAAAAATGCTCAGAGGAGTTGCCATTTACTGTGTTAGTCTTAGAACAGAGAAGCCTTTGAAATGTAATAACCACATTAAAAATCAAGTAGTTTCTGAAGGGCTCAAACACACGATTCTGTTTATTTTTGAAGGAAGTACTCTAAAAGAAGACAAGCAGTTAAAATGTGCGTTCCAGTGCAAAATATACTGGGACATGATAATAAAATCTCATATGAATGACAATGGTGCACAACAACTGTATTAGTTTCTCAGTTTTGTATACAAACTAATACTCTATTAACAAACTTCACACCACGCACAAAAGGCAAGAGCTTCACAAAAAATGATCATAAAAGCATAGCATTGATTCTGATTTTCTGTTTTTCTCTAAGCTTTCATTCTCTGTATAATGCTTGGGAAGAATGAGAACAGGTGTGAAAATAACAATAAAGGAATTGCCAGTGCATAAGCCGTTCAGATGGCTATGTTCTCTAACAGATAATGAACACAGGGAGCTTGATTCAGATTTACACTGCAGTTCTTCTGTACCTCCAGGATAAAATGTAGGAGATGATAGTCTACTTTAGAGCCTGTTTTGGAGAAGAATGGTATGAAACAGTTTTAATATTAAGGACGATTAGCTTGGTAGTTTTCAAAGTAGCATGTGAGTGTATCCACCTTTTTATTATGATGATACATCAATGAAAATACATTCTGTACAAATATCAGGAAAACACATCTGAAAATAGAGACAGTGTGGTTAATTCGTATCTTTTAAAAATATGTACAATATTTACATTTTGAACAGTTCTAGAAATGAACACATCCAGATTATCTACTACTACCTAAAACAATTCTCTATTATTATAGAAAATGTATTTGCTGTACAAATATTTATAAATACATATGTATAAACTTTTTCAGTGAAATGTGTGTGGATTCACTGAAATGAAAAGCATGAGATATTATCAGCTAACATTGAGCTATCAAGTGTCCATGTATTAGACAGTCTAAAGCATCATACATCAGACAGAAGTAGATTTTCGGTGTTGAGAATATTTTGTGCTCTGCTTCTGTGCCATCATACTGGCAAATCTGATTGATTGTCTTTTCTGAAAATCTGCAGAAAAGCAGCAGGACTGAATCAGTTTGACTCAGTGATTGTTATTGACTGCACCATGTCAGACAGGGTTTCTGGGTCTACTTCTTCTTTGCCATTATCTGAATTTTCTGAAGAGATGTAACAGCCAGAATCTCTTGGACAGTCATTTAACTGTGATTTGTCAAAGCTGCAGTGAGGGCTTAAGCTCTGTGTCTCCTGACCGTCCTCACTTTTCTGCTGTTGTTCAACTAGAGAGAACAGAAAAAGAAAGAAAAAATTGTCAAAATAAGTATCTTGGAAAAGAGTTTGAGGCAGCAACATGACTGATCTTGAAGAACTGTAGAAACAGACCTGGTAATATACACATGACTAGATCAATATCTTTTGTCTATCAGAAACAGAAACCTCAGCATCAAAGAACTAAAAATACGATTACATGAGTATAACAACATCTAAGTTGATGTTGAGGTTGGCTTTGATCTTGCAGTGTGTTGCTTAGAGATGAATGCCAGAGACTTTTGCCTCATCCTTTAGACTGAGGTCCTTTAGGCTGTCCATAGGTGCAACAGTCACCATGCATGGTCGCAGCTTTTTCCCCTCCCACATTCATGTATAACAGAGCCTGCTCATGTGATTAACCATGCAGTCTACTGTGCCTTGTTTAATGCACGTTGCATTATAGATGTTGTGTCTTTTGAGTGTAACCCCCGCCATTTTACCTACTCTGCACACTGTGTAGTGAGATACGATGCGCTGGTCATCAGAAGTGCTCAGCATAAAGATGTGGTAATCGGGTTTTCAGTGGGAGTGGGGGGCTGATGGAGACTTCCTAAGCTTAGCTTGATCTCCAGAAGGTTATCTTCCAAAACACAAAGGCTTCAGAGAAAGCTAAGATGCCTAACTCCTGCTGTACGGTTTTGAACACTGTTCCAAAACTAAGTAGAAGCAAATTATCTTGCAAATAATTGGTCCTTGTTTAGCTGCTGTGTGACTAAGCTGTTCCAACTCAAAAATCTGCAACTCAGCAAGAGTATCAACAGACCTCTCAAATAAAGCTCAACAAGCTGGTGCCTTGCAGACAGGATATACCTGTATATCATGAATATATCTTCAGGTTAAAGTTTTTGTTCGTATTTTCTAGCTGTGAAATACATACGTTTACTTACAGTAAATTTCTCGAGAAAAGAAGCTATAAAATAAAAAATCTCTCTCCTTCTTACTTTTTTTTTTTTCTCCCCCCTCCTGTAACTGTATTTTTACTTCAAACTGTGGCTTGCTTTCCAAACAAAGAAGAAGGAAGAAATCTCACAGGAAACAGATGGTTTTCCTCCAGATTTTAGCCCTTCAGAAAAATAGTGCCTTTTTGCTTTTGCAAATAAGTTCCATTATTCCACTTGGCTTGTTACTCTATGGTTAAATAGTTAGCTTCGAATCTTTAGGCAGATTTAAGCTGTCTCAATTCAAGTCCAGGCAGAATGGAAGTCCTAATACATGAAGAATTTTATCCTTCATCAAAATCTAAATCTAGTTTAGCTCCCAGAATTATAAAATTTCTACAAGGAAAATTCATACTGACATTTGTTTCAATTGTTGGAAATTATAAGATTTGGTAAGAGGCGAAAGATTTTAAATTTGTTGTGTGTTTGTTTCTTTTTTTTTTTTTAAACCGTATGTTGTATTGTATAACAAAGAATAAATTAGAAATGAAAAATTGAAATGTTTCACTCAGAAAATATTGAAATGTAACAGCAGGAGAGTCAGTACGTTTCTTCATTATTTAGGATTACAACAAACTTATTTTGCAAAGCATTCTGATATATTGAGAAACGTTTTTAGGTCTTGATGGAAGTCTTGTGGATTTGTTTGGACTGATTAATTCTGTTCAATATTTTCTAACTTTCAGTTGCCTAATTAAGTTAATCAACTAAACTGATTTTCGAAGAAAAGTAACCAGACTCTCAACTTAGTAATTTTTGCATTAAGCCTGAGGTTATAGGCATAACCTGATGTATGTTAAAAAAAAAGAAAGAAAGAAAGAAAAGATTACTTTAAATATTTTCTAAGGAATAGAAGTCCCACCTTGTTCCCAAATAAATTAATGGTTAATTGCACTTGTGTGAAAGAGTACACCTTGCAGCAGATTTAATTGATATCTGCAACTGTTTGATCTCCTTCTCACTTTACAGAACACAGTTTGTCACGTCAAATGTTATCTCTCTTTACAGGGAAAATATTTGATCACGTAGGGTCCAATTGATTTCTGATTTAAGTCAGGAAGGAATTACAAAAGGCATTACACCGGTGAAGGTATTACTGCTGCTATTAGTAGCAACAGAAGTCGTTTAGCACAAACACCAGATGCCCCAGTAAAGCTGTGTCTAAACTGTGCCATCACCTCCTTGCACCCACCCACCGGTGCCGAGACGACCCGGATCTTGGTGGCCGTGGGTTGACAGAGCTGAGCCGGTGGCTGGGTGAAGTCTTCCTGCACGGCTGCGGGCAGGGCTCCCCTGCCCTCCCCTCTAATCCCCTCATCAGCCTAATGCTGCTTGCTGCTACTTTTATCAGCTTCCCCAGCATCATCTGCTGCGCTGGCAAGCAGTGACCTAAAAAGTGTTAATCCTGTTTACATTTTCAAGGTCAAAGAGGAACCTCCATCCACTTTGTTTGTTTTACAAGGAAAGGAGACCAAGTAACTAGTGGATTAAAAAGAAAATGCAGTTTCAATCAGTGTATTAGTGCCCTGTAACTAGTTGTGATAATCTGAATAGTTCCTGTGTGAAAAACAGATCCTAAATTCTTCTGTAGTGATGTCTTTCCCTTGTGTGTTTCAGGGAAAAAGACACAGATGAGCCTGGAACTGATATTATTATTATTTTTTTTTTTTTAATCTGAATTTAGGTCAGTTGGAAGAATAAGAAATTTCTATTTAGAAAACATAGAGAAATGTAAGACTTCTGTCTTTTCCAATAACAATAGAAGAATTTTTAACAGGAAAACTGAAACCCAAAGATGTTCAGATGTTTGAGGCAGTAAAAATATTATGCTTTCTATTTTTCATTCTGAGCAGAAAAACTTGAAGAACACCCCCTCATATTTAAGAAGAAAAGACTGAAAGCAAACTTCAACATTGGTTTTTTCTCTCCTCGAAGCAGCCTTAAATATTATGCGGTAACTGCTAAACACTTGAACAGGATACTGAGTATGATAAATATATGCAGCATACAGTTTTAGATGTTGCTTCACGAAAAAAGAAACTACGCTTCTTTTTTTTCTTTTTTTCTTTTTAGCTTTTGGCTCCTACTTTCAGTTCTACTTAATTCCTTCCTCTAACATGTACATGTTCGAGTTCCACATTAGTAAAGGTAAGTTTGCTGTCTTAATTATTTGGACATCAGAAGAAAGATACAATGCCCAGGAAACAGGAATCGATAAAATTAAACTGCTGTTAGATGTTTCAGAATCATCAGAAATCTTATCAATAAATGGAAGTCCCATCATTTTCCTACAGTTAAAGCAGTTTCATATAAGATAAATAGTTTTCAGTCACTGTTGTCTGTGATATGGCCAGAAGAGTCTGAGATATGCATCATTTTGACACATATATTCTAATACTACTTTAGACTGTAGGATTATATTCAGACTTCTGAAAAAAAATGTGAGGCCTTTAGCCCTGGTAATATATGTGTGATGCATACTTATCTTCCTTGCTATATGGATATTTGAAATAAATATTTGTTATTCAGTGACGTAGATGCGCATGACACATGCAGGGATAGATCTTTTTTTTTCCTTCACTGGCTTTTTCCCCTTTTTTAATGAGTTTAACGTCCTGATTAGGAAAGCACTTTAAGCTTAGTTTTGAGGCAGTTCAGCTCAAGAATGTACAGAGGTTACACTGACTCCTGTGTGGCTATGTCACTTTAAACCAGATGTGTGGCAGGAGGCTTGGATTTTGTCTTGCAAGAAAAGAAGGTCACCCAGAACCAAGCCATGCTTTGTGAGTGTGCCCTCCGAGAGCTTGCCTTCACGAGTTTTGCCCAGGAGAGCTGAGTGAGGAGCACGATGCTTCAGTCTGAGTCACTTGCGTGCCTTCCTGGAAGGTGCAGCGGTGACGTACTGAGCAGCACCATAAAGTAACTATGTAGAACAAAGTGTGTCTTCAAGGCTGGTGTTAGACCTCCTAGGTATGTATGAAGGCCATGTATCAAACTGTAGTGCCAGTTAGACCACCCAAGTGTTAAAATGAAATGAAAACTCACAAAGCATCAAACTCAGAAAGGATCATTTTGAAGCAGTAAACGTTGATGCTTCTTGAAAAAGAAGCAGAGAAACCTGAAGTGGTCCTGTACACATATACAATGCTTTGAGGACTCAAAGGAGTAGACCTTTTGTGGATATTTACAGACATGCAACTTAAAAAATTGCACTCACTGAAGTCAGTGGCATAGCTTTTCTGGAAGGGATACTGAACTGATGTGAGAGGAGAGTTTGGTGAAAACACAAATTAGAAGCTTCTTTTTTTTCTAAAATCTGAAAGCTAACAGATGTGCCTGAAAAATGGTGAAAAATACTGCTACTCATGCCAAGATGAGCTTCTTTGGGAAATCTGGAAATATTATGTCCAGGTCAATGAGTTGTACCACAGTACCGAAAGGCAGATTGTCTTTGAGCACTATTTGACCTTGACGTGATATTGTGTAATCCCACGTGCTTAAAGGGACTGCCCAGTGTAAAATGGTACTCTTGATGCTAGGACCTCACATAAGGAATGCAACTGAGAACTGACAGTCGTGTCCTCAACTATCTACTATCTTGCTGTCCAAGTACAATAAATAAGGAACAAACCTTATTTGATACTGGCAGTGGGACTTGGAGCATGATCTGGCACTTAAATATGAAAAGTAAGTTAAGGAACTGGATTTGCAGAGATAAATGTAAAATATTATTCCCCAAATTGCACATATGCACCTTTTTTATCTATAAAATGAACTGTATGCACATATTCAATGAAGTCTAATTTTTCTTTAACTCAGAATAGCTTCAGACTAATGTAACCCACTGGACTTCAGGAATTAACCTGTTGACTTACATCATCGGAGTGAGAAGAGAATCGAGGCTATTTTGCACACACAAAAACGTGTGTCCTGGGAAGCAGTCAAAAAAAAGTTCCAAACTTCTTTTATTACTTTATTCATTAGCCATCCAGCAACTGCTTCGCTTTAAAAATAGCATCCTACAAAAGCACAGACATCCATCTCCTGTCTAGAAGCCATCTGGGAGAAGAATGGAAAGCTATTAAGAAATACTTTATGAAAAAGAGCTTTTTTTTCCTCCCCATCCATGGATTCATGGAAACCAATCATTTTGTCCCAAATATATAGGTCTGATCAACTTATAGAAAATCTAAAAAGAGATCTGTAAGTGGGGGAAGGTCGTGAGGAGCTTACAAGACCTTGCAGTTCTAGGATAGCCATGCTTTGTGAAGTACTTGAAGATGGTGAATTTGGGCCTGGACTTCCAGGAGAGGTAGAAAAAAGGCAGTGCAGTATCAGGAAGCAAAAAACACTATATGGCAGCATTTGCTACATAAAACTTACTTTTTAATTTCTGATATAAGATGGGTAAAGTTTTTCCTTTCAAATTCATTCAGATCTAAACCAAATGTAAGATGAAAAAAATCTCACTGCTAGAAATCCTACATTTGGACAGATTTAAGAAGCATATAATGTGGAAACTATTTCTGCAGGTCTTTTGGTTAGAAAACTGAATAACGTTTATTCTGCAAAATGAATTGTATAGTCGGAAGTATGTGGCATGCAGAAATCACTTAGTATAACATACAATAAATGTCAAGAAAAAATCGAGGAAAGAAAAAGAAATTAAAAGCCATGTAAAAACATATGGACATTTCACAATATCGGATATCACATGAAAGAAATATTAAATCTTGTGTTACTATGTTTATAGTAGAACCTAGTAAAATGAGGTTATGTTCCAGCACTCTTGGCTGTTCTGAATAATAGCAGAGTCACAAAAACTCAGAAACCTTTGTGTTCCAACTCTGGACCGTACCTGAGACTCCATCCATTAATCAAACATGTGCTTCATGCAAGCAGGA